TAATATTAAGCTGAATGTAGCTTTATGGATGGGGGATAAAATAGAGATAAAGGAAGGTATACAGTTAACTAAACATAGATTCCAGAGAGTCCGAAGGTAGTTTACTGTGGAAGTGTTTGTTGCAAATAATGAAAGGCAAGATTCCAAACTAGCTGGAATTGCGTAGAGACTTAGCTCCAGGTGGAAAAAGTCATATGGAAGAAGCAAATGGCTTTTTCTTATGTCATAATTGTTACAATTGACCAAATGCCTTTGTTCTGCACAGTATCTGCTTCAGCTCTCCGAAGGTGCATCATAACTTAGTGCCATTCTGCTGTCTTTTCCTCACACCCTTATATGTTGTTTCTTTTTAGAGAATCATCCCATGCCCTCTTAAATGCCTCAATTGAACCTGTCTCCACCATACCTCCAGACGTGAACCACTCGTGAAAAAGATTTTTCTTGCAGCACGTTTGTTACTTCCGTTAAAAATCTGTGCCCTCTCATTCTTGATCTTTTTACAAGTGGGAAGAACTTCTTGTTATCTATCCAATCGGACCCCTCAGAAGTTTGAAAATTTATTGAAAATTTGAAAATTAGTTCTCCGCTTAGCCTTCTCTCTAAGGAAGATGTTCCCCGCATCTCCAATCTGTTCTCCTAACTGAAGTTTCTCATCCCCAAAACCATTTTTTTGTAAATCTTTTGTACATATGCCAATGCATTTACATCTTCCCTATATTGTGATGCCAAGAACTGTAGTCAATACACCAGTTGATGTTTAACAAACAGCTTATGCAAGTTCAGCCCAGATTCCTTATTCTTGTACTCTGTACCCCTATTACTAAAGCCTGGATACTGTACTCTCACCACTTATACTGCCACCTTCAATGGCATGTGCACATGCAGACCACATCATTCTGCTCTTGCACTCTATATTTAGAATGATACCCTCTCATGTTATATTGCCTTTCCCTGTTCTTCCTACCCAAATGCATCACCTCTTGCTCTGTTGAAATTTATCTGCTGTCTATTCTCCCACTCTTCCAACTGGTCAATGCCTTTTGAAGTTTTACACTGTCCTTACAGTTTACAATGTTTCTAAGTTTCATATCACTGTGAGCTTTGAAATTGTCCTCTACATATTGAGATCTAGATGATTAATATATATATCAGGAAAAGGAAGGATACCAATACCAGCTGTGAGAACTCCACTGCAAACCTTCCTTCAGCCCCAAAAAGGAAAAAGATATTCTGACACCTGTCAAATTATGTTTTCACTTTAAAGCAAGTGAGACCAGTAATTAGTAGCGCTACTGTTACTACAGAATGTATTTATAAATATATATATGAACCAAGAAAATAAAACAGGCAAACTAGCCCTGAGTAATTAGGCAGCTGTAATTGTTCCCAAAAGAATACAGAAACCTACAGAAAACCATAACATGAAAATACTCATTTGGTGTGTAGCATGTGGAGAGAGAAAGCGTTTGGAATGAGTGTTACTGGGAAAAGCCAAAAATGTAACAGGTTGAGCAAGTGAAAGAGAGCAGGCTAGAAAGAAAAACAAAAGGGAAGGTCTGTGTTTAGTTAGAGGGCAGGAGGAATCAAAATACAGAAGGTTTTATAGTGCAAGGCCTAAGAGATCATGTGGGACGCAAAGGAAATTTCAAAACAAGCGTGTCCAGAAAAGGTGTAAATTACTTACTGTTGCCTACTCTTAACCAATTTTGCATCCACACTGCTACTGCCTCTCTTTTCCATGTCTGTGTGACACTGTATTGAACACCTGGAAATCCATGTACATCACATAAACAACATTATCCTCCCTAACTCTTTCTGTTACCTCTTCAAAATTCCAGCAAATTAGTTAAACATGATTTCTCCTTTGAGAAGAGCCAGTATGGATTTCTAATCCATCCACCTTTTTCCATGTGACTGCTAATTTGATCCCAAATGGTTGTTTCCAGAAGCTTCTCCACCAGTGAAGTTTAACTGTCTATAATTCCTGGGCTCATACTTGCAAAGATTTTGGAACAAGGGCACGGATTTGCAATTCTTCAGTCTGCAGGTACTCCCTCTTTGTCTAGGGAAGACTGAAAGGTTATAACCATTACCTCTGCAATTTCCATTCCCACTTCCTCCGATATCCTTGAATGTATTTCATCCAGTCCCGGTACCTTGTAAACTTTCAAGTACCAACTGTCTAAAAATGCTTCTTCCATATCAGTTTTAAACCCATCTTGTGTTAGTTTTCTCCTCTGTACTCATGGCCTGTGTTGCATGTACCTCTTGGTAAAGACACAGATGCAAAGAATTCATTTAACACCTCATCCATGCCCCTGTCTCTGAAAATCCTCTTTTCTGGTATCTAATTGGCCCAACTCCTATTAAGACTTGGGGTTTTCCTTTATGTTGGCTGACAGTCTTGTCTCATAATGCATCTTTACTTCCCTTCACCTGCTTTTAACCAGAACTGGAATGTTCTATTGACTTTATATCCAGATTTTGTCATATTTGATAAAAACTGAAACAACTGGGGCGGCATGTTGGCTCAGTGGTTAGCACTGCTGCCTCGCAGCACCAGGGACCCAGGTTCGATTCTACCTTCGGGTGACTGTCTGGAGTTTGCATGTTCTCCCCGTGTCTGCGTGGGTTTCCTCCAGGTGCTCTGGTTTCCTCCCACAGTCCAAACATGTGCAGGCGAGGTAGATTGGCCATGCTAAATTGCCTGGAGTGTTCAGGGATGTGTAGATTAGGTGGGTAATAGGGGGATGGGTCGGTGTGGACTTGTCGGGCTGAAGGGCATGTTTCCACACTAGGGATTTTATGATTCAACTGCAGATGCTGTAAATCAGGAGCGAAAACAGAAGTTGCTGGAAATGCTCAGCAGGTCTGGCAGCATCTGTGGGGGGAAAAAAAAATCAGAGGTAATGCTTCAGTTCCCCAGTTCTGAGGAAGGGTCACTGGACCCGAAACATTACCCCTGATTTTTTTCCTTCACAGATGCTGCCAGACCTGCTGGGCATTTCCAGCAACTTCTGTTTTGTTCTGCCATATTTGCCCTCATGAAGTCTTAATTCCAAATTTTCTCCTCTTTGACAAATTAGCCTCTCTAAAAATGGAAATAAACGCCAGTTGTCCCTATATACCACTTATTCCCATGACACCCTTCACCATACTTTTCACACCTTGCCTACTATAAGGACTACTGCAATCTCTGTTTCTTGGTCTTATCGTGACAGATCTACAATGTCTTCCTTTCTCTGTAAGCAAGGATTTTCCCCACTGAGGTTGGTAGAGCTCTAACTATTTTCCCCTCCCTCCCAGAGCCATCACAGTTATACAACCATAAGATATAGGAGCAGAATTAGCCCATTTAGCCCAAAAAGTCTGTTCCGTCATTCAGCCATGGTTGATACATTTCTCAATTCCATTCTCCTGTTTCTCCTTGTAACCTTTTGATCCCCTTACGAATCGTGAACCTATCTATCTCTGTTGTTTCTGTGATGTTCCTCTTGTCCTCTTTGTTTTTGCCCAGCCCACTGGCTCGATATTGAACTGATGTTCTTTCACCACCCATCATGATGCCACAACCATACAGTGATTCCTTTCTATCCCTTTTCAGCATTCTGAACAGAGTTCCCAATGGGGTACTCTAGTGTACTCCTTGTTCAGCCTCAGCACCCCAATTCTTTCCTTTATAGCACCTTTTCGTGAGACTGCAGGAGGTTCAAACTGCCCTTTTACCTTTTCCCTTCTAACTGTAACACATCTTCCAAGTGCAATTGTGATTTATTTCGTAAGCTTTCAACATATTGTTACCGTATTGTATTTTCTACTCGGGATATAGCCTCTTCTGTAGTGGGGAGATCAAACACAGGCTGGGTGACAACTTTGCAGACTACTTCTGTTCAGTCCACTTTCATAACCCCAAGGTCCCAGCCAGGTCACTTGAAGTTTCCATTTGCTGTCCTTGACACCTGTAATGTTCCACTGAAATTCAGCTAAATGAGCAGCACTTCATCTATCAGCTGGTCCCATTTCAGCCCTCTGGACTTAACAATGAGTTTAGCAATTTTAGATTTTAGCCTCTGTCCCCATCTTATGTTGCTTCTCTTGCTTCATTGGGTTGTTCTCTTGTTTCTGTCTCTCTTGCTTCATTTGCTTTCAGATGGCAACTATTCAAAATTCTGCCATTTACACTTCCTCTAGACATGCTTTTCTAATTTCCTTTATGTCCCATATATTCCCTTTGGCCTTGCACTGTGAAACCTATATTTTGATCCCTCCTGCTCTCCATCCAAACATAAACTTCCCTTTTTGTTTTTCTTTCTAGCCTGCTGTCTTTCACTTGCCTAATCTGTTACATTTTTGGCTTTTCCCCGTAACATGCATTCCATGTTAACTCTTTCTCTCTCTACATGTTATACATAAACTGAGTATTTTCAAGTTACATTTTTCTGTAGGTTTCTGTATTCTGTTGTGACCAATTACTACTGCCTAACTACTCGAGGCTATTTTTGCCCTTGTTATTTACTAGGTTTGTATATATTTATGAATACATCTGTAATAGCAGCACTACTAATTACTGGTCTCACTTGCTTTATAATATAATATGACAGGTGTCAGAATATTTTTTCTTTGGTAAATATGTAGCTTGAATGGCGGTGTAAACCTAGTTGAGATTTTTTTCTGGCACCCACCAGGGCCCTTTACCTGTAGGTTCGAATGCAGCAACTGTAACTGAAAGGGCCTGTGACTGCCAACAAGCCTTTTAGACATCCACCCTTTTCACGCACACTCCTCCTTCCGCCCCCCCCCCCCGCCCTTCAGAGCTGTGATGTTTACAACTCCACAAGGATGAATGACATTGTGCTTGGCTGCTGCAGCAGTTGTACTATTATTCTATCCCTAGATTACCACTTCACCTGGATTTCTGAATAAATTTGATTTTTATTTTTATGAATGTATTCCTTTATTGAAATATTGTTCATTTTACAAATAAGTATTTCAAATTGCAGGTAATGGGAAATGGTACAGGAATGTAGATTACTATCGAATGGATGGTTCTACAAGTGCGCAAACAAGAAAAAAATGGGCTGAAGAATTCAATGATGAGAATAATATCAGGTAATGTACACTAAAATGGATGTGAAGTGTTATGAAATGGTGGTTGACCCCCACCCCCCGCCACCGCGAACTAAAACCAAACACCCAAAAAGGAGCACCTCGCCCTATATTCTGTAAAAGGAGTGTGAAAAGCGGTGTAACCTTCTTTTCATCAACTTCTACTGATTAAATAAAATAAATCCCTGGCACTCCCATTAAAATCCACAAGTAGCAATTTATTTATCCAACTCTAACAGTAAGCAAATTAACTAAACTATTAACAAACCGAGTAAATCCCTTCTAACTGCTAACTATTCACAAATAAGCAAGATTCTAATGGTATGCTGTTCCAATAAATTCAAGTCCCCCTTATATGAAAAAAAACGTAGTCACTCGAAATTACAGCCAGGTTACGTGTCTTCCAGAATTTTCTTTGCTTTGTCCGTCAATTCTTCTGTCAGGAATATTAACTAGTTGTGCTGTTGGTACCACTGTTATTTAGATGGTGCTTCCTCTAAGACATAGAGGAGGCTCTGAGAGCGAGCGATTCTCTCTCAAGAGCTGAGTGCCCTCACCTCTGGCTGATGGCAGCTAGCTCTGGGATCTTTATCCAACTGTCCCCTTGATGACCTATCAATATTTCTTACAATAGGATTAGTCCTATATTGTTAAAACCATCAGACTTTTACATATCCAAAACCTATTAAATTTAAGTACCTGGTTCAAATTGATTGGCTAAATTCAACAGCACGTTATCTTGGTTAAAAACTGCTGCTTGGCTTGCTAACTGTATAGCTTTTCGATACAAATGGTTCAGTTCAGCTGCTTTCTGTGTACTTGCAAACTTTCAAACTGCTGCTCACAGACATCTGTTTAAAATTTCTAAGCAGAGAAAAAGCACATGATCTTTTAAAGGGACTACACAATGCTTCCCCTCCTCCTGCCCTAGCATTTCACAAACACCAAATTCTAATTTCCTGCCTACCAATCCACAAGTACTCTGCCCAACTTCACAACACCTCTGCCCCCTTACAAAAAAAAGTGAACCATCGTTATGAAAACATGGCTTCACTTGTTATAAAACCTTAACTCCATTATATTACTAGATCAATAGCTCATTAATCTAAAGTTACACATTTTATACTAATTCTATTTATATATAACATTGAACACTACCATTTCTATCTTACATAATCATTTTTCTTTTAAACTTGCAATAAAGCATCCACGATAATATTTTCATGACCTGCAACATGTACAATCTGTAAATTTAAATGCTTGTAATATGAGACTCCATCAAAATAATCTAGTGTTCTTATCCTTAAATCTTTCCAGAAATATCAAAGGATTGTGAGCAGTATACACAATCGTCTCTGATGTATGTTGTAAGGTCATTACCAAACTCAATAACTTTTTTTTTCAATGGTTGAATATTTTTCCTGATAGATGTTGAGTTTTTTTTTGAAAAGTAGCTGATTGGTTTTTCAGTTCCACAATCATCCTTCTGTAACAACACAACTCCAGTACCTGCATTGCTTGCATCAATGGTGATTTTGAAGAGCTTCCAAAAAATGGCTAAAACTGGTCTGGTGGTTAACACTGCTTTTAAATTCTCAAATGTGTCCTGGCATTGTTCTGTCTACCAAAATTTTGCTTTTTTTTTAAACAAATCCATCAATGGTGCCACTACGCTACTAAAGTTTGATACAAATTTCCTGTAGAATCTGCACACTCTTAAAAATCATAGCACTTCCTTCTTCGAGGATAGTCTTGGAAATTCCTTGATGGCCTTTGTCTTCCTGTTCCTTGGTGTCATCTGTCCGTTTCCAATGTTGTGCCCTAAGAATGTCACTTCCGCCTTCGCAAATTGTGTTTTTGCCAAATTTATGACCAACTTTGCCTTCCGTAGTCTCTCAAAGAACTCTGCCAAATGCTCCGTGATCTTTCCACAAATGATTAAAGATCACTAAGTCATCTATGTAGATGGTAAAATTAGTCAGTCCTGCAACAATTCTGTTCATAAGCCTTTGAAAAGTGGCTGATGCATTTTTCATTCTAAATGGCATTATTTTAAATTGATATAGCCCATTTGGGGTTACAAAAGCAGAAATTTCTTTTGCTCTCTCCGAAGGTACTTGCCAGTAACCATGAACAAAGTCCAACTTTGTGGTGTAAGTGGCTTGTCCTGCTTCTTCCACATAATCCTCCAGCTTTGAAATTGAGTATGAGTCAGATTTGGTCATTGCATTGACCTTCTGATAGTCTACGCAGAATCGTTGAGTACCATCAGGTTTGGGACCCAACACGATCAGCAAACTCCACTCATTTTGACTTGTCTGTATAATGTTTTCTTGGAGCATCGCTTTCACTTCCTTCTGAACCTTCACTGCTTAGAGAGGATAAAGCCTGTAGGGTGTTGTTTTATCGAAGCAGCATACCCTGTGTCATCATTGTGTACAATGGCATTATTCCTCCCTGTTCTATTTTTACATAGGTCCTCAATACTGTAACAAAACTTTTAATTCCGTTCTCTGTTCCTGGGACAGAGAGCCATCTCTGCAGGTCTTGTCACTGTTTTAACTTTCTTGTTCCTCAGCGTGAGTTCTTATCACTTCTGGAAGTGAGTTTTTAAACTTCTCCAGCAGAATAATCTCTCTCAGAGCCTCATTTGTCTTTTTTTAAAATCTTTAATTTTCTCATCCATCTATCAAAGTTGCACTGTTTAATTCTTTCAAACTCGGTATAAGTCTGACCTGATTCCTTTCTTACATTTCTGAACTGTTTCTGTATGCTTCTGGTACCAATTTGTAGGCACTCAAAATAACCTTTTTTATTGCTTATTCTTCTGACACCACCTGACAGAGCTGCGAATACCTCACTAGCCCTGCCTGCCAACTTGGTCTGAATTAACATTGACCACACAGTCTCTGACCGGTTCATCTGTTTAGCCAATTTCTCAAAGGAAATTAAAAAGGCTTCTAGGTCTTTTTCATCGAATTTTGGTAATGTTTGGACATATTTGTATATATCCCTACCAGGCCTTTGGCTATGATGAGTTTGCTCACCATCCTATCCTCCTTACTAAGCCCACCTTCTACCTTCATCCTTTTAAGTCGACTTTCCTGTCTAATTGCCAACTTCTGAAGTTGAAATTCTCTCTCCCTGTCAACCTTTCTTCTCTCTTTTTTCCCTTTCTTCTGCTAGGACCTTCCTCCTTTTTTTGTCCTGCCTTTGCTTTTAACCGTAATTGTCATACTGTTTCAGTTCTCTGTCATGTTCAAGCTGCTTCATCTGCAATCGAATTCTAGCCATTTCCAAAGATTCTGATGGCATTTCCAGCAAATTTAAATGTGGAACTATTGCTGTAATTACCTCTCCCTTTCTCACAGACCAAGGCAACCCCAACTCCAGCTTGTCTGCCAATTCCAACAGCTTTGCCTTGTTCACCTTTGTAAAACCCCCAAAGTCAGTTCTTCCACCCCCAGAAAACTCTTAGTGGCAGAAAGAGCCATTACCCCCCTTTTGATTGAACCAACAACAGGTAACCAAAATTAAACAGCTTTTTCACTTCTCACTTAAGTTTTATTTAAAGATCTGAGACATTAGTCCCCAAATCTATTTAAATCTGCTGGGAACTTTTGTACCGTAAATCTGTCCATAACCTGGACAACAAACCCTAAATCTGACGTAACGTGGAAGTTGACACCGCCCCCCGCCCCCCAATTCAATGAAAACCAAAACACCCAAAGAGGAGCACCTTGCCCTATAATCTGTGAAAGGTGTGAGAAAAATGGTGTAACCTGCTTTTCAGCAACTTCTAGTGGTTAAATAAAATAAATCCCTGACACTCGCTCTTAAAAATGACAAGTAACAATTTATTCATCTGATTGTAATTGTGAGCAAATTAACAAACCGAATAAATCCCTTCTAATTACTGACTATTCCCGAATAAGCAAGATTCTAATGTTATGCTGCTCAATAAATACAAGTCTCTCTTATACATTTAAAAAAAATTTAGTCTCTTGATATTACAGCTGGGTTACGTGTCTCCTGGAATGTTCTTTTCCTTCCCTGTAGATCCTTCTGTCAGGAATATTAACTAGTTGTGGTCTTGGTATCATTGTTATTTAGTGCTTTCTGTAAGACACAGAGGAGGCTGAGACCCAGTGATTCTCTCTCAAGAGCTAAAGGCCATTAGCTCTGGTGGATGGCAGCTAGCTTTGTCCAACTGCTCCCTTTTTGTTATCCTTGATGACATATCAATATTTCTTACAATAGGATTGGTCCGATGTTGTCAAAACCATCCGACTTAAATTTAATAGGTTTTTGGCATCTAAATACCTGGTTCAAATTGATTGGCTAAATTCAAAAGCCTGATGTCGTGAAAACAAAACAAAACTGCTGCTGGCTTGCCAACTGTATGGCCTTTTAGTTACAGTGACTGTTGTTTTGGATAATGATGCACTTGAGCACAATTTGAACAGTTTAGAAAATAGCCAGTTTTTAGCTAGTTCTCATACTATAATTGTGCAACGCGGTAACTAGGCTAGCATGCATTGAATTTTATACTTGTTGCAATGTTGAGCTCGTCTGGAGATTTTAGAGAAGTGGCTATGTTTTATAATGGCCAAGATCTTGTGGGCTCAAGTAGTAAATATCGAGAAGCTCACCATTATTGAGGGCCACAACAGCATCTCAGTTTCCAAGATGTCCCACTTGCAGTCTAATCCGCAAGCTATGTTGCGTGTGAATGAGCCAATGCTGATGTTCAGGGACCTGTCTTGCGTGACTAAGGCTGGTTTCCTACTTCTTTCACCAATTTTTATGTGGATATTTTTTTCAAGTACTGCTCCTGCCAAGTATACAGCATGTTCAAGTGTGAAGTTCTTTATATCAATGGGAGTGTTCATCAGGCGCCACTGTTTCTTCATCTCTTCATCTCTTGGCTTTCCCTTAGTCCCCTTCAGCATCTCTGACTTTGCTTAGCCCTGTGTCTCTACTACACTGGAATCAGCACTTGATAAATTGGAGGAAATGACATCAGGAGCAGCAGTTAAAAACCCATCAAATTAAAAATTGGATACAGATAACAAGAAGTGTGACTTCAGCCTTTGACATCCAAGGAGGCTTGGTTTCACTGACTGTTTGTTTGCCACTGGGCCTCTCTCTGACCAGTTTGGTTCTGGAAGCAAGCTACAGCTAGAATAGGAAGTTTCTGTTGCCATTTATAGGAGAAGTAGATTTTCACAGTCAGTGGCACATAACTGCAAGATTTGGGGTAACATGTTTAGCCTGGACAGTTCTACAGATTTAGAATATTATGTTTCCAAGATGTACTATATAAAATAATTCCAAACAACTCTACATTGCAACAAAGGCCCCAATGTTGTGGTAAGCAGTGAGTAAATCGTAGGTTGCATTCACTGAGGAATGCAGTTTAAAAATAATAATTCAAATATTTAATTTGATGTAAAGGAAAATGGGATTGAGGGATTAACCGAACACTAAATGTTGAAACTATTTTATTCCATATTTAAATCCCCAACGATAATTTAACCCATAATGGAATAAGATTCTACTTTTGTAAAATTCATTTTTCAGTGCTTGGATAATTATTTGGTAGTATTGAAACCTGGTACGCCGTCAAAAATTTACTTGCACTTGAATGGATAGCCTTAAAATTTTCAGATATATTCAGTGCTTTCTAATGGATAAATATCCCAAATTTGCACTCCTTTCCCATAGTAGAAAGCCTAATTTCTCAGTGATATTTCAGTTTAGCAACTTCCTGATTTCTGCATTTAACTGCGCACGCGCAGAAGAGACTAGAAGATTTTCAGTATACTTTAGAACAAGTGAGTGCTGGAAACATCACCAGTGGCCCAGATTTTGAAGTCTGCATGATTTGATAGGAACGTAACTTGAGCGAAATCTATTCGACCTTCTTTGCAGTGCACTTTTCTAAGGTTAGTAGTTTTGGTTGTTGCATGGGGAAAAAGGTATGCAAGCTGTTGGTACAAGTTACAACTGTGAAGTTAGATTGTAATTACAAAATAGGGTGTGTGTGCAAAATTGAAGTCCCTGTGATGCTGAAAATAAAACCAAAAACACTTGGACTGCATCTGTGGCGCAATAATTTCCTGATGAAAAATCACAGATTTTAAGCAGAATTTTTTTTCTCTTTGAACAAATATTCCCTGATGTTCGAGTATTTCCCAGGATATGTTGTTCATTATTGAGTATTGTATTTGTTTGCATGCTAAATGTACTTCGAATGAGTGGAACTTAACTTGTAGTTTTTATGCACTTAAATGCAGGGTAACTTAATTAAATTAGACTAGTAATTATTTCCTTCTGTGTCTCCTCTTGATTTTACCTTGAATGTCTTGAATATTATTGATTGTGTGCATTTGTTCTTTACAGGGGCCGTCTGTTCATTATTTCCACCAAAGCAGGATCGCTGGGGATTAACCTGGTGGCTGCCAACCGTGTTGTTATTTTTGATGCCTCTTGGAATCCTTCCTATGATATCCAGAGCATCTTTCGTGTTTACCGTTTTGGACAGATAAAGCCAGTCTTTGTCTACAGGTTCTTGGCTCAGGTAAAAATGATGTCTTCCTTTGTATCTGGAAGATACATGCCTGTGTTTTCAAAACAAAATGTTAGCACGTTATTGCATTATAAATTCTCGAGGGAATATAAGAGGCGATGTTACTGAGTGGCTTTGAAACTTTCTCCACTCCTTATTTTGTAAAAACAAAAAATTGAAGTGTAATGTGTGTGCTTCCTCTGCCCTTTTCATTTAATGTTTTAGATGGCTGTGAAGCTATCCAAGGTACAAATGTTTTCATTTCTTTGAGTGGACAAGTTCTCCTCTTGAATTTTTATGAAAACATTTGATTACTGTTCCTTTCTGCTTAACATACAATGTGCCAAACATAGATGGATGGACGGAAGTAAATTTTTTTATCTTACCTTCGAGTTTACCTGTTCACAAAAGCCACAGATGCAGATTTGTTTTTGGTGATTAAAACACAAAAATCCTTGGTTGCCTTATCTGGCAAATTACACATAAATATTTAACAATTTTGAAGTTTAAAAAGAACAGTTCTGAGTATTTTCGCATCTTTTGTTCAACGTTTTGAAGCTTTCCTCCATTTCTGATACCCTGACTTTCTCCAAATATGGAAATGGTGACCATAAAGTGGTAGAATTTAACATTCAGTTTGAGAGCAAAGAACTTGGGTAAGAAACAACTGTGCTAAGTTTAACTGAGGATATTTATAAAGGAATGAAGGCCGAGCTAGGTAGAGTGGATTGGGAAAGGAGTTTAGAAACTAAGACAGTTGAGGTATAATGGCAGATGTTCAAAAACATTATTCATGGCTCACGGCCAAGACACACGTTCCAGTGAGGAAGAAGGAATCTAGGAAGGGGATAAGCCAACCATGGTTAGCCTGGGGATTAAGGATTGCATCAAATTAAAAGAAGAAAACTACTCAATGGGGAAAACATCAGTCATAAGCGAGGGGATTGGGGAAAGTTTTAGACAACAACAAAAGACGACCAGAAAAATATAGGGTGAGTGTAAACTTTGTGGGTAACTTGCAAATCATATCAAGATGGACAGCACAAGCTACTTAAAAATATAAAAAGGAAGAGAGAGTCCAGAGTGAGTATAGGCTCCTTAAAGAATGAGGCTGGGGAAATAATGGGGAACCAGGAAATGACAGAGGAGTTGAATAAATGCTTTGCAACAGTCTTCACAATACATGACACTAATATCATCCTAAATTACTAAATATTCAAGAGGCAAAAGGAGGAGAGGAACAAAATATGAAAACTACTAACGAAGTAACTACTGGAGCTAAGGGGTGCATCCTAGGATGTTAAACTAAGTAGCTGCAGAGATAATGAATGCATAGGTAGTAATGTTCCGAAATACATAGATTCGGGAAAAGTCCCAGAAAGTTGGGAAGCTGTCAAGGTCACACCTTTATCTGAAAAAGAAAGGAGACCAAGAACAGTTAGTAACCTACACATTTTAAATGTGTAACGTGATCAAGCTTGTCTTCATAAAATGGAAATTATACCTGACAAATTTACCAGAATTCTTTTGAGGTAACAACAGGCAGGATAGTTAAAGGGGAAGCGGTGGATGTAAATACTGTGAATTGTTTTGGGGCCCTTTATCTAAGCAAAGATATACTGACATTGGAGGCAGTCCAGAGAAGGTTCACTAAGTTGATACTAGGTATGGAGGGACTGTCTTATGAGGAGAGGTTGAGTAGTTTGCGGCCTGTACTTATTGGAATATAGAAGAAAAAAGGCGACTTTATTGAAACATACAAAATTCTTGGACGTGAAAGGGCAAGTGCAGAAATGTGGGAAGAGTGTAGGATCAGCGAGCCTAATCTCCGAGTAAGGGGTTGTACATTTAAGACAGAAATGAGGGGGAAATTCTTCTGAGATGGTGAATCTATCGGACTGTACCGCAGAGTGCTGTTGAGGCTGGTCATTAAGTGAGAGAGATTTTTAATCAGTGAAGAATTTGAGGGTTATGGGGGAAATGGCAGGAAAGTGGAGTTAAGGATCAACAGATCAGACATGATCTCATTGAATGGCACAGCAGACTTGAACTGAATGGCCTTCTTCTGCTCCAACGTCTTATGGTCTTGTGAAATGTTCCGAATTCATATATACAATATTTTATCATTGAAGCTTTCTCCACTTTTTTTTGAGGATGTAATACAGAATGCAGTTTTCGCTCTGTAAAAGTAATTTTTAATAAAAGGAATAAAGCATTGTAATTTCACTCAGCGATAGTAAGAACTGCAGATGCTGGAGGAACACAGCAGGCCAGCAGCATCAGAGGAGCAGAAAAGTTGATGTTTCAGGTCAGGAGCCTTTTCAGAAATGAATTTGCCCCATTTCTGAAGAAGGGTCCCAACCCGAAACATCAACTTTCCTGCTCCTCTGATGCTGCCTGGCCTGCTGTGTTCCTCCAGCTCCACACTGTGTTATCATAATTTCACTGTTGGGTTTGGTTGATAGTAGCTAATTTGGTCTGCTTTTTTATTGGATATGAGCGTTGCTGGCAAGACCAGCATTTGTTGTCCATTCTTAGTTCCCATTGGAAAAGTGGGCGGTGAGGCACTTGTTGTACTGCAGTCCAATTTTCTGACTCTAGTTCAATGTATTATGCATATGTTTAGGACTAGAATCTCCCGTCCTCCTTGCAATTCAAATTAATGTAATATTCAAAATATACATTTTTCAGCCCATGGACCATTTTATGTACTTTCATAATATTTTGATATTTGCAATAAAGGTTAATAAAGATCAATAAATGCAGAGAATATTCAGAATACGTCAGTTCAGTTTTCTAAAGATGTTTCTTTAAATACAGGCAGTTGCCAGGAATTTAGTTTTGCTGTTGATTTTTGGGTAATTCTCTTTGGATTATGAGCAAATGATAACGAGCAGAGTACTGAAGTATGTGAAGTGAAGAAGCTGAATTAATGCAAATACAGATCACTTTTAACTAAACTGTTTCAACGTCAACTAAACAAACATTTTCCTTGTTGAGACAGTCAAGTAACCTTTGAATGTTCTACACCTTCAGTGTTAGTCATTTAAGTACTCAATAAGCTAACGTAAACAGAAAAGTATTTGGTTATTCTTTGATTTGTAAAAATAGAATTCATCAATTTCAGTGGTTCTTGCATAGTTTGTGTTCCTTGAGGAAATATTACAAAATTACTTTGTTCTATGGTTGTCAACAGCTTTGTGGGAAAATAATTTACTGAAACATTAATGCAGTGTTTTTAAGTTTGATTCTTAATCCTTAACATCTTGCTGTTGTAGCTTTTGGTACCATGAGTAAGGAAATGTATTAGGAAATATGTTGTATAGTTGTTAAGTATCTCTGTCTCAGATTTAGTGCTGAAAGCAAAACTCTTTGTCAGAGACTTTTAAGAGTACAAGGTTTGGACAGTTCTGATCTGTCAGCCAGCTGTGATTTTTTTGAACTAGCTGCAACTGGCACAAAGGCAAGACATGACTCCATAGGTAAAAATACCACTGTAACCAATAGAGATCGGGTATCAGCAACTGCTCCAAAAAGAATTTGTGTATCCTTTGATGAATGTATAATGAAACAAATTCAAAGGTATTCGGCTGACTGGCATTTCTGTTTAACGCTTATTCAGTGGTGATTTTTGAAGTAATTTCAGCAAATTAAGCTTGATGCTTGCAGCTATAAATTGCCGTGCCAGTGATTAAAGCTGTTTGACAATTTGGCCTGCTGTTAAAGTAACATAATCACATCACTTTAGAAGTTAATTATCCAGTGGAAATCCTATGTAAATTCACAGAGAACAAACTGGTCTATTATTCACCAAGAGTGATCTGTGAATCTTAATTATTGGTCATTATGGTGGGTGATCTGACAGGATTGACAGGTGACATTGGCGAAAAGTGACATTGGCAGATGACGTGTAGTGAAGCACAAATTCTAACATATATTGTTTTAAAATACAGGGAACCATGGAGGAAAAGATTTATGATCGTCAAGTAACGAAGCAGTCACTATCATACCGTGTAGTTGACCAACAACAAATTGAGCGACACTTTACAATGAATGAATTAACTGAGCTCTACACTTTTGAGCCAGATCAGCTGGATGATCCAAATTCTGAGAAGAAGAAGAAGAGAGATACTCCTCTGCTGCCAAAGGTTTACCTCTTTCATAACCTTTATGCTTGTCGGGAATTTTTTTTTGGATTAATTGCATTTCGGTCAGCAATCACGCTGTCATTTAGACATAGAATTAGTGGTTTCTAATTTTACCACCGCTCCACCTTCCCATTCAATTTAATTTTTAAGACAGGTTGCTGTATAATTCCAGGAAATTTGAGCATTTTCTATTTGAAAGCAAGAAAGGAAAGAGAATTTGGAAGGGGAAGGGAGAAAGGAGAGAAGAAAGCTAAAGTAGAAAGGAACAGAAATAAGGAGGGATGAAGCAGTCAAAGGTTAGAAACTGGATGAATGATACAGTGGGACAAGTGATGAACTGGAGGAGAGAAGAAATTGAGAAGTGGTTAGAACAGAAGTGTAAAAATAAGAGGGATAAAGTAGAGAAGTTGGAGATTGGAGTAGCAATGGTGGAGAGAGAGAAAGATTGGCTTGGAGTTAGAGAGAATTAGACTAGTGTTTGGGGAATATAAAAAAAAATTATAGAAAGACCGAAATAGATGCACTGCAGTGTTAAATAAGGGTGTGAGGACACAAGTTTGCAGATAAAAAGTGGAAAGCATTAAATTTGAAAGCGAGTGAAATGTCAATGAAGTAAAGATGAGAGAGAATTAAGAACAGATGCTGAGATGGAAGCAAAGATGGGAGAAGGTGAGGCACCAGAAAATAATGGAGGTCATGGTTAGATCTGCAAAAAGGGATGAACAAGGGAGCATGGATGAGAGGGTTTATTATTTGCAGATGCTTTCTTTTTGGAGCTGGGCCACTTGCAGTGTTTCATAGCTGAAGGCTCATTTTTGATGGTATAAAAGTTGGGGGAAATAAAATTAATATACTGTCCTATTGTTGTCCTTTTCATATTTTGGTTGTGTTACTGTTGACTGCCATTAGAGGGTATTCATTATACAATATGTTACACCAGATGCGGCAATATTTGAGTGACAGGATATAGTTTCTATATAATTTCTGTACAACGTAGCAGAGCAACTGGTGGCTTAAGAACTGTAGATCCCCCTTAATTGAAACAAATTCAAATTGATCCAATAGACAGTAACATGGTGCTCGTCCTAATTAACCATCTCATGCAATGAGTTAAATTTAGGATTAGCGATCTTTTTAACTGATTAATTTGGATATTTGATTCTTTGCCATTGATAGTGAAACAAGTTTTATAATATAGCTCTCCAACTGAGTTGGAGCCTGTGAACTATTAATTTGAATGTGAAGCAAGATGATTGTACTCGTAATCTGCACATTGTTTTATGACAACTCTGCCTTCTAAGCTTACCAATTGTCACTATAAAATAACTTGGGGTTTTGGGGGGATGGTTAGGCAGCTGTAATTGGTACGAAGCAAGTGTGTGCACATGTGGGTGGTAAAGGCTCCATATGAGCATAAACCAACTTTTTTGGTAGCTTTGATAAAAGGAGATGCAGTATTTTGAGTCAAAGCCCTGTGACCTTGAACAAGAGGTTTTAAAAGATTGCATCCTCGGCAAGTTTCTTTACCTGAATTGGAGTTTTAAAAATAAATTTGAGATTAAATATTGTGTTGGAAAATGTAGCACTCCAGCTTTGATTTGAAATTTAATTTGAGTGCTTCAGTTTACGAAAAGTGTAAGAAAACTGCAAAGACTTATTTTCGTTGTGCTTCATATAACTTTGTGCTTCATTTGAATAGACCACCTACATTATATTTTAAGATGTCAAGGTGGGAATGTGCAGTCGATTTTTTTTTTTTCCTGCTCTGTTTGGCAACCTTAGAGGAAACTATTTAAATTGTTTTAAAAATCTGTATAACATGAAATGCGCAATTCATCGTTCCATTCACATGTAATGAAAATATTTTGATATTGGTCCCAAATAGATTTTACGTATTATGATTATACTGTTTTGCGGCATTTTGTATACCTGCATTGCAGTACTAATTTGACCTGCTAAGCACAGGATTTGTGATAATTTCATAAATAACTTATAGGCATTATTACTTTACTGAAGTACAGATCTAAAGAATAGAGTTTATTTTTAATTCTATTTTTTGACAATTCCTTTTTCTAGTATAATAAAATAAACATCTTAAACTAATAATTACTAACAGGGAAGGTTATTTCTAGTTAACTGCCACTCATTCCTCAAACAAGTCTTTGATCTTGTCATACAATCTTGCAAATTATTTAATTTGTTCCCATGTTTTACAACACATTTGATGCTCTTTTAAAGTGCTTGGTAAAGTATTTTTAACTTTTGGGATGTTTCTCAGCAAAGAAACATGGATCATTCTACAGTAAAATTACTTTAGTTCTATTTTTAATGCAGTACATCTATTATGATTTCGTGGAGACTTTGATTCGGTCACCTGTTTCAACATTTCATGTCTGTTCTCGGGCAGAAATTTTATCATCCCAGATCTACTCTATTAGAAATTCTTGTGAAGTTTATAGACCCCGTGGCACAAATTTTAAGTTGGAACATTTTGATGCCAGTGAAGGAGATCCTTTTATTTGCATATATTTCAACTCGAGAGACACTTAAATCTGACACCTTGTGTTATTGATTATAAGCTGTCTTTTTGGAAGTTGAGTAGAACGTGAAGAGCAAACAGTATTCTCACACCATTGAATAATGTATGGGCATAGTAAAGCTCAAATAAAAAGAGGTTTGGGAGCCCCTCAGAAGTGGTGGGCCTGACAGGATTTCACAGGACGTCTTGAAGGAAAAAATGCATTCTGCTGTAATATGTGAATTTCAACATGAAAGGCAACTGGGAACTTGTGTATAAATGGTACTTTTAGGTTTATTTTGTATAGCATCAGATTTTAATTTAAACCTGAGTATTATTGTTTTAAAGTTTTAGCACAAAATCAAGTTAAAAGAATTTATATTCAGTAAACTAACTTTATTTTTAATGGAACCTCCTTTATCTATGTTTGTTACTACCATGTCTTTGCAAGCGAAAGTCTGATACTAGCTGCTAACATTAAGAGCTAATCAAAATGTTAATTCTGGTTATATTGTCTGTCTCTTAATGTCAATGTTTTTGACATTGTTGTGCTGAATGCACAAAACGAAAATTTAGGATGTTTAAATCATCTGCCACTTTGCAATATCCATTCAAGTTTCTTCCTTTGTGCAATTGGCAAAGTTGTGAAATTACTTCTGTCACCTAAAAGTAGATATTTGTTTTAATTCCTGCATTGCAGTCATTAAAGATTGAAAGGGGCATGATGAAATTTTGTTCCATTAACTTGTTTCCACACTTTGTTTTATAATTGCATTAAAAGATGTGAAAGATGGAAGCTTTATTCTTCAGTAAAGGGTTGATTTAGCTTAACTGGTTTTTACTATGCTGAATTACAGAGAATACAGTTGACCTTCCAAAGAGATTATTGTCTGACCGTAGTTTGTGGTATTTGCTCCAGCACTTATAAAAAAGCAATTTACATTTTAGACATCGTTTCAAATTTCCCAACTCAAAAAGATGAGATTTACTCGCAATATAACACTTAAACAGATGTTCCATATTCTTTTAGCCAGCACTTGACACAAGATCCTGTGGCTCCGTTTTAACCTCATTTAACATTTGTTTTGACAGTGCTGTAAGTTGTCTCAGAATCGCTGAGCGGATCATTCAGTAGCCTTTCCCTTAGTGGTTTGAGGATTGTGCAGTAGATTTGTCTTTGAGGTTCAATGATCTGTGGAATAACTGACAAATTCTCATTTGAAAACATTGTCAGTACAGGTGGAAGCTTTGAGAATTTTACCCAAAATTCAAAACATTAAATTGGTGGCCTTGTCTTGAATAGATAAATAATTGTTGTCTTCTCAGAATGCACGTGAGAACTTCTGGTGACTTCATGTTCATTTAAGTTCTCAACATGAAAAATTATCCATCCAAACAGTAAATTTCTCAGCAAGCATCCCCTTTGCTACTAAACCTGGTGCAACTTCGGTGATTTATCCTGTTAATGAATGTTTTGAAAAGTAGGCAAATCACATTTGTATGTGCTTCATTTAATTTTGTGTTGGAAACAAAAAAAATGTAGGGAAAAATTTTGGTCGAAAAGATAAATAAACTTTAATATACTTTTTTTGTTTTACTGATTTTTTTTTTTCCTTAGAAATTGGCAGGTATAATATTTAAAGTTCACGATTAGGAGTTCTCCATTAGTCAAAACGGAATGCTCCTTCCTGAGCATCAAAATTTCTTGTTAGGTCAGTGATTGGTTGGTGTATTTATGCTGATCTCTTAAGCTACTGGATCAATGAAGAGCACTTCGAAGGTTAAGAGAAGGCCACTTAAGCCATTACAGTTCTCCTGTTTCGATTAGAGTAGGAAAATGCCAATGACATCTGTCAAGTAAAAATGTGGATGGCAAGAAATTTCCTTAACCCTGACAATGTTTCTCTTTAAATGATGCCAATAATTGCGAGTTTTGTTTCCTGAGAGGTAATCTGCATCTCAGAAGCAATGTAATACTCAAAACAGCATGAGGAAATTCTCTAGGGGCTTTGCTTCCCTAATTACAAAGAGATGTTTCCTTTTACACTCATCTCTTGGTACTTGCAATGTCTTAGTCTTAGATTATGAAATGTAACATACGTTTTAAGACTTGACCCCAGACAATTTACTTAGATATAATATAACAGTGGAGGTAAACTTCTAGAGCTTGCGTTAAATATCTACTATTAATAAATAATTAGGTTTTAAATAATGTTTAACTGATTCATGGGGGTAATTGATTTGTAGACAAATATTCTAATATTGGGGAAACTCCCAATTGTGCACCTTTACGGATATATTTTTCTACCACAGCATTTTTGAAGAAATTTATGAATGCTATTCAATATCAACTCTGGAGTTTCTGTGCTCCCTTGTAAAGAACACTACGTTTAACACCCTCTTCCTCTCTTCCTCTCTTCCAACACCTCTCCCCTCTTCCCCATCCACCTCTCACTGTCAAGAGGACAGTTTACTGCCACCT